GCAAGTCATGTGACCCATTTCAATATTTCTCAAATTTTACAAACTCTTTTATTAAATGCTGAACTAGTAAATGTAAGTTCGATCTCAAGAAGCTCATAATTTCTTTGGAGCCTTGAACAAAGAATGACCAGCGTGTACTGTACATAACTCTTCTTAAACATTAAGCATTGCCAGCAAATCAGTTTTTCTTAGATTTTTGCAAGCTGTAAACCATGGGTAAAAATGATATTGCAAAACAAAAGTTCCCAGTGTACATTTTGTTTTCCTTATATTCATTCACTCTTAGGGTTTTATATAGGTTGGTAGTGTCTCCCATATTTTAATGTTTTTAGTTTATCCATGAATGTTGTTCTTGACAATAGTTTTTCTAAAAGATATCGAATGACATTTTTATCTCGTTTCCACAAACTCAGAAACTTCAAATAGTCTTCCACCGTTTATAAACACGTAAACTGACATCACTGCAATTGTGTTTATGAAAATACCAGTTTGTGCATGATTTTGGTACAATCCACCTCTTCTTCAGTTCATGTTGAGGTCAACCATTGTTGTGTTTAAAAGAATGGTAAAGACCTTTCTTTTTCTTATATTCACAATTTGTTAATATTTTTATTTGCATTATGCAATGCCAGAGCGTGTTAATTTGATTTTGTGTATTCAAATAACTTGTGCCTTTAATGTCAGAACGGAGTAATTAGTCTGTAGTACCATGATGATGCTGTAAGTGTAAGTGTAAGTGATATATTTATTAGTGTTGTGATTTTAGATCTTGTGTTTCGAAGTGACAAGCCGGATATGCATTATTTTATTACGGTCATTAAATAGGACTAATTGTTTATGTTAGCAGAACACTGAGCTAGGTTTTGATACTTGTATGATAAAATAAAAAGTAAAAATTGCTTGCATCATCACAACCTCAAATCCTACATAGAACAAAAGTTGACTGGTAATATGACAAATGTGGAGGGGTGTGTTGTTAAACCGTGGGCAAAATTAAGCATGTCGTATGTAAGCGAAAGTGATGAATATTTTGAG